CGCAACCACCCCCCCCCCCCCCCCCCCACACACACTCTTCTGTTCTGCAGACTAAATAAGCCCAAATCCCTCAGCCGCTCCTCATAGGTCATGTGCTCCAGCCCCCAATCATTTTGGTTGCCCACCGCTGGACCCTCTCCAATGCATCCACATTGTTTCTACAGTGGGGGTCCCAGAATTGGATGCAGTACTCCAGATGTGACCTCACCAGTGTCGAATAAAGGGGAATAATCACATCTCTAGATCTGCTGGCAATGCTCCTCTTAATGCAACCTAATATGCCATTCGCCTTCTTGGCTACAAGCGCACACTGTTGACTCATATCCAGCTTCTCATCCACTGTAATCCCCAGGTCCTTTTCTACTGAACTTCTATTTAGCCAGTTGGTCCCCAGCCTGTAACAATGCTTGGGATTCTTCTCTCCCCCTGGTATTTCTCTGAGGTTTTCTACTTTTCTTCCCATGGTACTGTTAAACCTTTTCTTTATAGTTTTTAATTTCCCTTCTCTCTCTCTCTCTGACTTGCCCATGTCTGTCTTAATCACCACCACAGTATATATTCCGGTATTATGCTTCCACCTTGCCTAAATGGTGAGTCCCCTCTGGAAACGCAGAGCAAGGTTGGTAACTAAGTAGGAAATGAAACATCATACTGGGGTTTGTGCTGAGGGGCTTACATCCCAGTATAAAGCTGAGATACGTGATGTCTTTTCACAATCAAGACACCTGAACAGCTTAAACTGCCTGGTAGTGACAATATGCCATAACCATATTATTAAGATAAATGCTTTTTTTGTGGTCCCAGATTAGAGTGAATTAATTTTTAAACTCACTTTTCAATTTTCTCTCTCATTCTGGCACTAAGGAGCAGATTTAAGGTTCTGTAGGTGCTGCATCTGAGTATTTCCATACCTTTAGACTGAACTCTCAATTTCCCAAATTTATAATGCTGGATTTTGGGATAATTACAACAACCCCTTAAAGGTTTTACCTTTAAGTTACATATTCCTACTCACAACCTAAACTCCATTTTAACTTGGTTTGTGTGGCATCATCCTTAGTTATTAAAAAGATTTAAAATACCAGACATGAACTCTAAGTGAGAATTGCCTGGGATATTTCTAATGATTTGACAACATGTAGAATAAACCTCAAATCATTTTTTTATATTAACTATAGGGCAGTTAACCCTTTGGGGAGACTTGGGGCCTGTCACCACAGAAGGGCTAAACTCAAAATAAGCTTCACAACTTGAGCTATGCTTCTTGCATAGCATAAGTCAAAATAGCTTATTTCTACTTTTGGCACTGTCTACACAGCAGTTATTTCGAAATAGAGGACTCTTCCCCTGACTTCCCTCACTCCTCATACAATGAGGGGGACAGAAGTCAGAATAAGAAGCCATTATTTCAAATTTATTTTGACATAACAGGCTTCCTGTGTAGATGTACACTAGGTTATTTCGGAATAACTAACATTATTCCGAAATAATATTGCTGTGTTGACATAGCCTTGGAAGAGTGTGGAAGGAATTTTTCTTCACCCATGTACTCCTATAAGTGACCTCTAAATTCTGGCTGTATGACTGAAGTCCTCATATCATGGTTTAAATACTTCAAGTTACATTTACCATAGATTAAACCTGCAAGTGACTCAAGCCCCACTCTGATAAATCTCTGATCCGTGAAGAAAAATTCCTTCCCAACCCCAAATATGATGATCAGTTAAATTCTGAGCAGGTGAGAAAGGTCCATCAGCCAGATACCTGGTAAAGTAATTTCTGTAGTAATTGAGGCTATGTTTAGACTTCAGGCTTCTTGCACAAGAAGCTTTTATCAGAAGAGATCTTCTGCAAAAATTTCTTGCACCAGAGCACATCCACACTGCAAAAGCGCATTGAAAAGATGATGCGCTTTTGCGAAACAGAGTGTCCAGTCTGCATGGACATGCTCTCAAAAGTAAGCTCTGATTGCTATGCACAGAATGGCCACCAGGACACCAGTGCTTTTTCCTCTTTCCTCTTTCTGTGCAAAAAACCCCCTCTTCCCCATCCACACCCACCTTTTTGCAAAAGAGCTCTTTCGCAAAAAGGCGTTCTTCCTCGTAGAATGAGGACTACCTATGCCGGAAAAAACCCTCTGTTCTTTAGATTTTTTTGCACAAAAATGTGCTTGAGCTATGAACACTCCACAAGTTTTTTTTTGAAAAACAGCCATTTTTCTGAAAAAAAAATCTGTAGTGTAGACATAGCCTGAGAGAACTCCCCCATCTAGTGTCCCATCACCACCTGTGAATATGAGAACTAGAGACTTCTGGGTTTGCTCTTGCACTGGTTGTTTAATACTGAACAATAGCTGCTGAGGGGGTTTTGTTTGTTGTTGGTTGGTTGTGTTGTTCGTAGATATCAGGGTGTCTACAGCTTGGGTTAGAAGTTACTTCTATTTTTTTTAAGAAAAAATGTTCTGTGCTTCACGTAGATCCAGTGCCTCCACAGAGAGAGATTAGTATGTGTTTGGCAGTCTGTATATGTTTTTAAGTGAAGGGTATTGTATATTT